TAAAAAATTGTCTTGAAGTTTAATTTTCCGTAGAGAGTGATGAGTTTACTGTATATGGACTTATACCCAGTGGCGGACCTAGGATTATATTCGAAAGGGGGCTAATTTTAAAATTTATAAAATAATATATTTTATTTATAAATATTTATTTGTTATCCGAAAAAATTGTCATTGTGATTATTGTATTTTAAAGAAAATAAATACAAATAACGAACTACAACAATAATAATAGTTATATACTGTATTATAAATATTTATTTTTGTATTCTTTTTATTCAGACAAGATATACAATTTTTTAATATTTTTTTATTTATTCATTTTCTCTATATTATATATATTTAAATAAAAAATATATAAATTTAAATAAGTAAAAAAAAAACTGGAGTGGGGTGGAGAGGGGGCTGCAGCCAACCCTTGCCCCCACCTCGGTCCGCCCTGCTTATAGCCGATTTTGTTGGAAAGCTTCCTGATACAACCTTATTGATTCTAGATGAAAGCCAACTTATTAAGGTGTTTGTCATTTGGTACCTTGGAGGATCTATTTCTACACATGGTGAGTATCGAGACTATAAACATGATCTTTGAGAATTAAACTCATACTTCATAATTAATTGAATGGGTGAAAATTGTATTGCAATTTTTGTTACCATGTTTGTCCCTTTTTTTTTTTTTTTAAGTACCTTGCAAACTAAGTCTGACGGAAAAGTTCAACCCATGATTTTATTGTCACAAGTCCAACATCTACCCTACCAGGTCATCATTTACGAGACTTAATATAAAACTTTTGATTGTGTATCCAATTTTTCCTGTCACAACATTCCTACTATCACATTCTTAGAATCAAGCAAAACATCAATGGTGTTTTCTTTGTATGTAAGCTATTCCGGTTACCTATTAGTTCATACGGGGCCAAAGAATGCTCATTAAACAATACCAAGAGGATGTTCTGCATGAACAATGTCAGTTAAGATTGAAAATTTTGTAAACTATTTTTATTGCATCTAACATCAATATTTTTGGGTTTCCATTTCTACAGTGCATGAATAATGTTTCAGAAAATATCATATTAAAACGACCCATTTTTCTCTTTTGTCTATCTCATAAAAGATAATATCTTTTTATTTTTGATAAATTTATAAATTTTAAATACACTTAACAAATATAAATTAATTTAATTAAATTTTTAACCAGTTACACATAGAATTCATTCATAACCCTTTATTTCTATCTCTATTTACCTTTACAATTCTTTTTATTTTTATAAAATTAATTTATGATAATAATAAATAAATAAATGTACTAGTATTTTTTATTTATTGTATTATATAAAATTTTATTCTCTACAAAATAATATCTTATTGTATATATTTTATTAAGATATAATGCTAAAAATATTTAAAATATTGACAACACTACTCGTATTAAAAAATAAAAATAATATTATAATTCATTATATTTACTAATTTACATGCCGCTTTCCTAACCAAACTAGTCATCTAGACTCAGGACAGAAGGAGTATTATGTTGGAAATAAGGAATTGTGGAAGAGAATTATAGTAGAGAGAAATTTTATTTGAAAGAAACGTTGATGCTTTCTTGTTTTTCAAATGCGCATACTACATGGGTATTTATAGGAAAATTATTTGTAGCAGGTAAAATTTATTAATACATTCAGAATAGTAAGAGTCAGTTCTTGAATCTTCACTGCCTTAAAAATTGGTGCGTTGGAATCCTTATTCTTTTTATTTTGGGATTGCAAATTATATTTAACACCCCCTCTTAATTTGTAATTCCAATATCTTTCTTGAACTGTTGAAATTTCTCTTCGGTGACTGCCTTCGTAAGTGCATCGGCAAGCTGTGCTGTGGTCCTAACATGCTCCAGAAAGATTTTTTTTTCTTGCACCTTTGTACGGATAAAGTGATGTCTGAGCTCGATGTGTTTTGTTCTTCCATGAAACACTGGATTCTTTGTCATGGAAATTGCTGCCATATTATCATAGAAAATTGGAGTGGGTCCATCAACTCTCTGTAACAAATCCTTCAAAATTCTTCTGAGCCAAACTCCTTCTCGAACTGCTTCATTCGCAGCAATGTGCTCTGCCTCTGCGGATGACATAGCAACTGGATTTTGCTTCTTCGAACTCCACGAAATTGCTTTTGATCCCAAGCAAAAAATGTATCCCGATGTGCTCTTCCTGTCATCTTGGCTTCCAGCCCAATCACTTTCCATGAATCCAATCAACTCATTGTTCTCCTCCCTCGAATATTTGATGCCAAGACATTTTGTTCCTTGAATGTAACGGAGAATCCTTTTTGCAGCCGCAAAATGTGACTTGCTTGGATTGCTCATAAACCTGGAAATCAAACTTACAACATGTAAGATATCCGGTCTTGTGTGTGTTAGGTAGATGAGCGATCCGACAAGGCTCCGATAAATGCTTGGGTCGAATTTTTCTGCACCATCATCAAACTTTAATCTTTCGTTCAGGGCCATGGGTGTTGCAGCAGGCTTGCAATTTTCCATTCTAAACTTCTTTAGCATGTCTGCTGCATACTTTTCCTAGGAGATGAAGATCCTTCCATTTTCTTGCTTTACTTGAATGCCGAGAAAATACTTCATCACTCCGAGATCGGTCATTTCAAACTTTCTCATCATCGCTTCTTTGAACCATTTCACCATTGCATCATTTGTTCCTGCATAGATTAGATCATCGACATATAGGCAAACCATCAAAAAATCATTCTCACTTTTCTTCACATAGAGAGATGGTTCGGAAGGACTTTTCAGAAATCCATTTTGCCGGAAATATGCATCAATCGTGTTGTTCCAGCATCTTGGCGCTTGCTTCAGCCCGTACAGTGCTTTGTGCAGCCTGTAAACTTTTTCTTTTTTGCCTTTCGCTTCAAATCCTTGTGGTTGTTTGACGTACACCTCCTCTTCTAGTTCACCATTCAGAAATGCAGTTTTTACGTCAAGTTGGAACACTTTCAACTCCAATTGTGCTGCGATTGCAAGAATAGCTCTTATTGTTTCCATTCTAGCTACAGGTGCAAATGTCTCCGTAAAATCCACTCCAGGATGTTGTGTGTATCCCTTTGCCACAAGTCGTGCTTTGTACTTTTGTATAGTTCCATCTTCATTGAACTTGGTCCTGAAGACCCATTTCAATCCAATCGCTTTTTTTCCTTCGGGAAGATCCACCAACTTCCATTTTGATTCTTTTCGATACTTTTCATTTCATTGTCCATCGCATTTTTCCATGTTTCGTCTTTCATAGCTTCTTCAAAAGATTGTGGCTTACATGCAAATAACGCAACATTAGATGAGTTATAAATTTCATCTAAAGAACGATACCTGCGTGGCTCTTCATCCGAATCCGATTCTTCTTGCTGAGAGTTACTGTTTGATGAATCAGTAATTCTTTGGGATGATTGTTGTGGAAGAAGTGGGTCGAGCTCAATGAAGGTTTCTGTTGTTTCTTCTTTATCCCATTTCCATGTCGCGGTTTCATCAAAGACAACATCTCTTGATAGTACCAATTCCTTCGTTGATGGATTGAATAAGCGATATTCCTTTTGATTCATCGCTATATCCGATGAAGATAAGTTTTTCTCCTTTTCCATCGAACTTCTCCCTATTCTTGGATGGAATTAAAGCGTAGGCAATGCATCCAAAAACTTTCAATTGATTTACAACGGGTTTCTTCTTGTGCCATGCTTCGTACGGTGTCTTGTCTCGCACAGCTTTCGTTGGAGATAAATTCAGAATATGCACAGCGGTGTGAACAGCTTCTGCCCAGAATTCATTCGGGAGATTTTTTCCAGTAAGCATGCTTCGCGCCATTTCTTCAATTGTCCGGTTTTTCCTTTCTGCTACACCATTTTGTTGTGGTGTGTGTCGGACTGTGAGCTGTCTTTTTATCCCTTCTTTTCTACAAAACTCCATGAATGGCTTGAAGATGAATTCTCCTCCTCTATCAGTTCTTAAGCACTTTATTGCAAAGGCACTTTGTTTTTCAGAAAGTGCTTTAAAGTGCATAAACCTTTGAAATGCTTCCGACTTATGCTCTAGGATGTACACCCACATCATTCTCGTAAAGTCATCAACAAATAAAAGAAAGTAACTTTTATTTCCCAATGACGGGGTTCTTGTTGGACCACAGATATCTGCGTGCACAATTTCAAGAGGTGTACATGCTCTCCCTGCAACTTTCGGAAATGGGAGCCGATTCATTTTTCCATATATACATCCTTCACAAACTTTTTCATAATTTCTGATTTTTGGAAGACCGACAACCATGTCCTTCTGCTGTAGAAGCTGCAAGCCTTTGAAATTGAGATGTCCATATCTCAAATGCCAAAGGTAAGTGTCATCCTCGGCAGCAGTCTTCAATGCGACATGCGACTCCATTTTGAGAGGAAAAAGATTGTTAGCCGTCATCTCCACCTGTGCTACACAGTCTCCATAATTTTTGTCAAAAATTTCACACATTCCATTGTCAAAAATCAGCTTGTATTCATTTCTCATCATTTGCCCAACACTCAAAAGATTTTGTGATATATTGGACGAGAAATTTACATCATGGATGAATTTGTCACCTTTTTTGGTTTGAACGGCAACAATTTCTTTTCCTTCAATCATCACCTTCTTTCCATCATCGAGCTCAACATGTGAGGAGTAGCTTCTATCAATTTCATGGAAATCTTCTTGATTTCCAGATAGATGGTTGCTGCAGCCGCTGTCCAAGTACCGCATCATGGCTGATTTTGTACTATCTGATCGGGAGATAAATAGCTTACATGATTCATCCTCTGCTGAGAAGTGTGTCTCTTTCTGCTCTTCTCCTTGTTTGTTCTTTTGTTTATGCCAACAATCTTTGTCGGCATGGTTTGGCACCTTGCATGTCTTGCATCTCCACCAACAATTTCTTGATTCGTGGCCTTTTCTATTGCACACGTAACACTCTACATCTGATTTTTCAAATTCACCTTTCCCTCTACCCCTGTTCTGAAATTTTCGGCCTCGCCCTCTCCCGGGTGCTTGACTGAAGGAAGATCCCCCTCTTCCTTGTTGCAATGAATTCTTGGAAATGTGTCTTTACTTGAAAAGCCAGTTCTAATTGTTGGTTGTTGTAGTTGCTCATTCTTTGCTCATAGGCTTCCAAGGTTCCCATAAGTTCGAATTGAGTGAGTGTCCTGAGATTTTTCGTCTAAATGATGACAGCAATGATGTGCTCAAATTTTTGTGGCAAACTTCTTAGAATCTTCTCCACTACTTTTTTTTTTTTCTGGAACTTCCTCTCCGCAACTTTTAATTTAATTGATTATTTCAGCGACTCTTGAGAAGAAATCGCGTACCATTTCATTTTCCTTCATAGACAATGTTTCAAATTGTCTCCACAAAGATTGCAGCTTTATGGTAATCACCTTTTTTGATCCTTGAAACTCTGTTTTCAAAATCTCCCAAGCTTCTTTCGCTTTCTTAATGCCAAAAATTCTGGGGTAGATAGGTTTACCAACAGCTTGCTGGATAAACCGCAATGCTGTCGCATTTCTCTTCACATTTTCCTTATAATTTCTCTGCATTTCTTCTGTTCAATCTTCGGTTGTTGCATATGGTGGTTCTTCATAACCATCTGCCACAACATCCCACAAATCTTGTGAGATGAAAATGGTCTCCATCTGCGAACTCCAGTAATCGAAATGTTCTCCATTAAAAATGGGAATTTGGGCACCGGTATAATTGAAAACTGAATTTGATGATGAAACCATCTTTTTTAAAAAATAATAATAAAACCTAATGCTCTGATACCAAATTTGTTGGAAATAAGGAATTGTGGAAGAGAATTATAGTAGAGAGAAATTTTATTTGAAAGAAACGTTGATGCTTTCTTGTTTTTCAAATGCGCATACTACATGGGTAACTATAGAAAAATTATTTGTAATAGGTAAAATTTATTAATACATTGAGAATAGTAAGAGTCTGTTCTTGAATCTTCACTACCTTGAGAATTAGTGCGTTGGAATCTTTATTTTTTTTTAATTTTGGGATTGCAAATTATATTTAACATATTAATATAAAATTCAAATAAAATTTTCTCAATCAAAATACAATAACTATATATCAAGATATATCACATTTATACCCCGGTGTGGCGCTACTCCAAGAACTCCTATATATATATACACGCTTCTGTTACGGTGCTGATGCTTATCAATACGGTGTTGATTAAATATACATCATTTGATCTATTTAATTTAATATCCAAAGGCTAATAACAAACATGGTAAATTTAGTAATTTTAGTAAAATTAAGTGATTAATTCATCTGTGTTTGAGATGCTTATCAATACGGTGTTGATTAAATATACATCATTTGATCTATTTAATTTAATATGCAAAGGCTAATAACAAACATGGTTAATTTAGTGATTTTACTACATCTTTGTTTGAGATGCTTATCAACATGGTGTTGATTAAATATACATAATTTCATCTATTTAATTTAATATCCAAAGGCTAATAACAAACATGGTTAATTTAGTAATTTTACTACATAATTTTAAGTGATTAATTCATCTGTATTTGAGATAGCAAGTTCGCTGCTACAAAATAGCACAATATCAACTTATAAACAAAATATTGGAGTGTCTTTTAGTATTGTGTTCTATACTTTCGTTATTTAATAGTGGTGCTTTTAATTAAATTATACTTAGATTTTTTACAACAATTAAAAGTATTAATTTTATTTTTAAAACTATATTTGTAAATAAAAAAGAATGGATTTAAGATTCTAATAAATTATAATCAATGATTTAAACAAACATTTATAGACACAACAAAGAATATTAATATTTAAATTTTATGAAAAACACAATAACTATATTACAAAAGCACAATATTAATTATGGAATATCATAATAATAATTTTAAAAGAGTACAATAAGAACATATTGAAAATGATAAAGACGACAACACAGGCAATCTAACTCTCATTCCTTCGAGTTTACAGAATTATCTTCCATGTCTTCTATGCTAAAATAATAAACTAAGAGAGGTGGTTGTGCTTGTGTTGGTAAAATTTGAAATTTTGATTGCGTCCTAATTTATATGTATTTCTATTTGTGTTTAAGTCGAGAGAAGAGATATATATATATATATACACAGATAATTTAGTGGGATGAGAATGATATGCACAATGTACAGAAAGACGAAAAAAAAAATCATTGTAGTAAAAAGAAAAGAAATACAATAAGATGATATGAAAAAGACAATAATTATATAACGAAAACACCATATTTATTATACAATAACACTATATTAATTATTCAATAGCACAATATTAATATTTAAATAGCACAAAAATAATATTTAAATAGCATAAAAATTATTTCCAAAAAAAGTACAATGATAATTTCAAAAGTGCACAATAATAGTAAAAAAAATATTAAAATAAAATTTTCTAGCAAAACTAAGCAATGATTATACCTATAGAAAATAGTACATACTACTATGAAAATAGTAAAAATAAAATTAAAATAATTAATATTACTTGTAGAGATGAATTTCGTAAAAATATGATAATAGTTTTAAAAAAACACAATATTAATTATAAAAAACACAACTGTTATTTTTTAAAAGTACAAAAAATAGAACATTGTTGGATTAAAAATTTTAGAGAGCACGAAAGCACGTTTCTGTTCACATAGAACACTACCTCTATTCACATAAAGCAAGACTTATCTTGACAAAAAAATACAAAAAATAACATTGCTTAATTAAATTTAAAAAAATTAAAAAGCACTATTTTTGTTAACATCTCTTTTCACATAGAATACCACCTCTATTCACATAAAGCACCACTTCTGTTGACAAAAAATATTGTTTCCATTAACAGAGAACACCAAGCACTGCTTTTACTAACATGAAGTACTAGTTATGTTGTAATACCCCGTAAAAATAATTTCCGAAAGTTTTCCGGAGCTTGCGGAATCGGACAATATTATTTGAGGCTTAAGTTGTTTGGGCTTTTTGTGTAAAAAATTAAAAAAAAATTGGATTAAAAATTAAGAGTAAAATTGAGTTTTGACCATTTTGGCCCCACTAATAAAGGCCAAAGTCTTTTATATTAAAAAAAAAAAAAAAGCAAAAAGAATAGAGAGGCAGCAGCCGGACACGTCGCGCAGCAGCCTCGCTTCTTACTTGGAGGTTTTCTTCTCCAAAACTCTTTCTTTTGATATCTTCTCTTAAGGTAAGGTAAGTGAGATTAATTTTTTAAATAAATGATAAGTTCTAATTCCTATGCACCTTCTCTTGATATTTTTCAAAATTATTTTCAAATGGATTTGCACTAAAAGTGTTAGATTTTGCTAATTTCTTTTAGAAAGTTGATTATATTGTCCCATAGGGCTTATGTGAAGATTATGATAGTATTTTAAGTTGAAAATCGTAGAATTTGTGGAATGAGTTTGAAACTCTAATTTTGCCCTAACCTAGTTATGGTTTTTGGGAAAAGATTTATAATTATGTTTAAATATTATGATTTTCGGAGTTAGATCGTGCCTATTGAGATTGACATATTATTCAAATATTTATTTGGCAAAATAAAGTGAGATTATAATGAACTTGTTGGCTTTTAATATTATACTTTTTGCTTGGTTAAATGTTGGCAATTCAATCGGTTTGATTTTAAAGCTCTATTTTAAATTTTCTTAATAGCATGTTGAGTATTGAGTCAAATTGATAATTGAAACTACCCGTCGAGTCCGATCAATTCGTCGATTGTTTGGATGATAAGATATAGTTTTTCACCTATGTGCTTTGCAAACACGTGAGGGTATACCGATATTTTAGGATAACTAACTAACCTCGAACTAGAACCCGAATGGGCTAGGCCGATGGATCAAGATGGCGGGTTTCCTTTTTGGGTGATTCCGAGGTTCCCGTCATTTACGATGAAAAAGGTCTTTGGACCGTCATCTGTGATAGAGGGATGAATTGCGTACAATCACTTATCGGTATGTTATATTGAAGACTAGAGAATTGTGGGTCGTTTGGCACCCCTCGCAAACTAATAAATAAACTGATTTACGTGTACTTTGGGCTTCGAACCCTTATGTACATATTGTGGAGCTTTTCTTGAGGGTTGTGACCCTATGCTTATTATGTGTAACTATGTGATGTGTCATAAGAAGTAATAAGGTTGAAAAACAGGATCGTGTTGGCCCTAATCAAGGCCTAGTGGAGTCTCCTTCGTGATGGGTTTATCACAATTACTTGAGAATAAAAGGGAAATATAAATGAGACGCTAAAAGACTTGTATATGTGAGTTATCATTATGTGATATGTGACATTTTATTCAAATTATCTTCTTCAAATGATTTTGTGGCATTTGCACGTGAGTCATGACTTATACCGTATTAATTTATCTTTGATTAATTACGTTTACTCAACCGTTGCGTTAACCCTCTTTCTCCAACCTTTTTGTAGGTGATAGTTCTTCTCTTATACTTAAGTGATTCATCCACATCATATGATCCATCCAGGGAAACTATAACTACTTTATCTTCTAGAATACTTTTGAAATTCATTAATTATGTTTAAAGACTAATGTCCTTTGAACTTTGCTTATTTAATTAATAAGCAGGTGCTCTTTAATTTTAAATCCCTATTTAATTGTTTGTATTCATTATTTTAGCTTTAGCGCCACAACATAGGGCTTGTTGATTAATAAACGAGTCTTCCGGTGTGACGTGACTGTAACATCCCGATTTGAGCCGGACTGGGTATTACATCTATTGACCAACCTTTATTGTCTTTTATTTTATTCTTTTGCTTTACACATAGTTATTTAATTTATTTATTAATTAACTTTAATTCATCTTCCATCTAATTTGGGTTGTTTGATTTCTTATGTTTATTTCATTAACTTATTGATTACTGCATGAATGTATGTATATGTATCTTAAAAAAAAATGAAATAAATAAGCAAATTTACATCTCAATAGAAAAAAAAAAAAAAAAAAAACACACACACACACAAAGAAAAAGAAAATAAAAGAATAATTTGGAAAGCACAATGATTATATCAAATAAGTACAATGATTATAATTAATTATGAAAGAACACAACGATAATTTTTAAAGAGCACCAAAATTACTTCAAAAGAGCACAACAATAATTTTTAAAGAGCACCAAAATACTTCAAAAGAGCACAATAAAATTTTCGAAAAAGCACAAAAAAATAAGGCAACATAGCAAAAAACCTCCCTCTGGTTTCCTAGATTTGCTGAAAACCTTCGTTGGTTCTAAAACTCCAAAAAAACCTTCTTGTGGTTACCAAAATGTTGCAAAAAATTTCCTAAACTGATATATTTCTGTATAAAATTACTAAAATACCCTAATAACTATTTTTAGGGCATTTTTTTTCTTCCTTATTCTTCTTCTTCCTTTTGTTCTTTTTTTTTTCATTTTAAATCTACTAAATATAACCAATTTGAAATCGATCCCAAATTTATAGTTCACTATCGACTTCTACCAAACCCAGAAATTTAAAAAAAGAAAATTTAAGAAAGAAAGAAGAATTGGGAAGAAAAAATAAAGAAGAAAGAAAATTGAGGAAAAAGAGAGAAATAAGAAAGAAAATCGGAGAAAAAAAAAAAGAAGAAACCTGCCCCCGCTTCTTTTCTTTTTTTCTTTTTCTTCTTCCCCTTCTCTTATTTCTTCTCTTTCTCTTCTTCCTACCTTCTTCCTTGCTCCAGCCGCTTCTTTCTTCTGCTAGGCGTAAAAAAAAATTGGGGAAAAAGAAAAAAATTGGAAAATACCGGCGTGTGAAAAAGAATTTGAGGAAGAAGAATATGTTGGGGAGAAGAGAAGAAAAAAAAAAGAAAGAGAAATAAATTAAAAAATATATATAAATAGAAGTATAGCGGTTAAATGTGATAAAATTTAATGTCCGTTAGTCAAATTTAAAAATAGAGAAGAGTGTGCAATATTTTAGAAACCATATATAAATTTTTTGGAATTTTAAAACTAAGGGAAATTTTCAGAAAATTTGGATAACTATACTGGGATTTTTTGCTAAGCCCAAAAATAATGGCAAAAATGGGAGTGCACGCGTATGCTTCTAATGCAATCCACTTGTTTCTTAATTAGATTTTTTGTTTCCTATAATTAAGTTCACATTTCCATAATTAAGTTCACATATGCTTCTAATGAACTTGTTTCTTAATTAGACTTTTTGTTTCCTATAATTAAGTTCATATCATCTAATTAACTTCATATCCATTTGTTTGCTTATGTTACAACAGCATATTTGCACTGCATGCGCAAGTCTTGTTGAATACTATCAAATAGATTATATATATAGAATATATAAATAAGTTGAAGCATACCATACGCACAGACATACACATAAATTTAAATTAAAATGTGAAATTAAAAAAAATGAAGAAGATAGTCTATTGCAAATATATATATATATATTAAAAAAAATGATATAAAAAGCATAATATTATATTACGAGAATACAATGATTATATTATGAAAGCACAATGATTATAACACGAAACCACAATGATTATATCACGTGAACACAATAATTATATCACAAGAGCACAACATTAGTTATAGAAAAGCACAACAAAAATATGAATTGATCATCGTCATCTATTAATGTATTTCAGGTTATTCCATTTCTATTCCTGCAATCCTCTAGTTTTTCTTTTCTACAAGTATTATCTTTATTTTATTCAACTTGGTTTAAAAGAACTTAAAATATTATGTGCAGATCTTGATCTGGATCTTGGACTTCTTAAATTTATTTATTTATTTATTAATTTCCGTTGTCGTAAAAAATAGAAAATATAAACATACAATAAATCAAAGAAAAATTTGGAAAACCACATTGCAGAAGAAAGAAAAACGATGTTGCATGACTTGCATGAGAAGATAGAGAATGGGGAAGAAAATAGAGAAAATTACATTTTTATCATTTAATTTAATATTAACAATAGGATTAAGATATAATCTATTTATCTAACGGATCAAAATTAATCAGTACCATGCTGCTTAACATTAATCAGCAGACTAAACAGCCACCGTGTATATATATATATATATATATACATCACAATGCAACTTAGAACAACTCGGTGGTAATAAATCCGCATATAGTGAGCAAAATATAAGGTCCAAAATGGACACAATAATATAGCATTCGGGCTATTACATATATGTCTGATGAAACTTAAAACTACAAACAAGCTACAACAAAATTGGCAGTTTAGTAAACCTAATAGTAATAGGTACGGTATACCTGGTGAGACGGTACGTAATTAACACACAGACACCTCCACATTAATATTATGTCAAGTCACTCACTGTCTCTCAAATTCAGGCCAACATTACAACAACTTATCACACTGCTAATCAAATTATCAAAACCACTACAAATGCAACCAAATTGTAACTAAGAAGAATTCATAATAGTAAATGATTTCAATTTATCTACTCAATCTACATCTTTTCTTTTGAGTCCAATACCTCCTGCTATCTACTGCCATCGAAAGAACGTTAAATGTAATTGCCTTTTCGCTTGACATGGGATAGGAAGCTTTCAAACATAGTTAAGGATCACAAGATCGTAAAAGGACTAGATGTTGACTTGTCTGTCCATATGCATTATGAAACTAAGATCTTTAATGCTGACAGAGTATCTAAAACCATGGCCAAGTTAAATATACTACTAATTAGTTTCCAGATATAGGATAAGATGAACAATCCCGTGCAAGAGAGACTCATGATCAACACTAGGCAAATTTCCGACTCAAATCTATTTTATGAACTGTCTGCATAGCTGCCTAACAAAAATGCAATCTCAAACCTACCAAACCATGGTTGCCGGATTAATTGTTATTACCAAATTTAAGTGCAGACAACATAACGCAGGCAACAAAAGAAAAAAAAATGCAGCAAGAACACAGGTAAATCCTAAACCATCTTGATATGGTTGGCCGAACCCTTGAGAAATGGTAACTTAATGGAGGAAGCTGCTGTTAAATACCCCCGACTCACCAGGTAACCATAACCAATTTGAGTTAAAAATTAGAGGAAAACTAGATTAATTCAAGTGTTAAAAGGTTGGGTGCAGAAGGATTACTTCAAACTACCATCCTGAAAATTGAGTAATACTAGATCCATCAGGAGTAGAAGAAATCAAATATAATTAGACACCCCAAAGATATCTTATTAATAAATTCAATTAGCATGACTTACTACCTGTCTTTGAGTATTCCTTCATTTAGGTTTCACCCACAGTCTCACCAGTAATAGTTTTCGGCTTCTGAAAATTTAAGAAAAATAAACACCACTGCAAGAAACAAATGGAAATGAAAAACATTTGCATAGCTTACGACTTCATCATCCCCTTTTCCATTTGCAATTGAACCAGAACGTGGCTGTGAAAACCTGCAAAAATGTATGCATCTAAAAGATCAAGGGTATCCCACATACCTCGCTATATGCATGTTTAGTATTACTGAAGCAAAGAAGAAAGAACAATGAAATCATAATAACCTGATTGCCCTTGCTTTCTTTTTCTCTTCTTCGATGGGATCAGGCTTTGAAGACCCAAACCTAGCAAGTCTAGCCTTCTTTTTCACCTCCTCATTTGATGGTTCTGATTGTACAATCCCAAATCTGTGGAAGACAAACATCCAAATTTGCGATAACAACTAGTAGCTCCACAGAAACAATTTTTATCAAAACCATATAGACAGACAGAGAGACCTCTCTGCTCTAGCCTTCCTCTTCAGTTCCTCTGATGGCTTGGCAGAATCCGATTCACCGACAGAAGTAGCAGTTCCAAACCTTCAGACGAACAGAACAATTAGACAAGTTGAACAACTTACGGAAGTCACCAGAGAAAGTACAAATCCCTGGAAAGCAATCATCACAGTATTTCCAGCTTACTTGAACTCAATTTAACATGTCTGACACATGCCTAATATATGTAATCGCCAATTTTACCGAAACTAACAACAACTAAACAAAATGTTAAAATTAAAGTCCAAAATATTCGAAAAACTTGCTGGGGGTAAAGAAAAAGAATACCTCTCGGCTCGAGAACTCCGCTTTTCCTCCTCGGACAACTGCACTGGCATTCCGAACCTCTCAGCACGCTTCATCTTCTTATGAATATCCGTTATGGCAACATCACCACCATCCTCATCGCCGGCTCTAACCGGCATCTCCGCCACTTTATCCTTCGCTTCACCGCCGCGGCCTCCATCAGAAGACACGGATGGTGGAGTTATTGACGCATCTTCCGTGGTGGAAGGCGTGGAATCGATATCGGAAGCATTTTTAGGGTTTTCCACTTCAGGTGGAGTCGCCTCTGCCATTGTCAGTCTGCCACCGATATTCATTCACGGTCACCTCGGCCGATTTCACAGCAGAAGTTATTCGCTGAAACGAAGATTTCGGGGTGAGTCATCAATGGTCTGTACAAAATGAACTGGGCCTCTTCACTGTTTAGATACGGCCCAAATTGAATTAGTACATTTACGATTATACCCTTGTCACACCTCCTGCGTGGACTGTGGATAACTGGCTGGCATTTCTCGCCGGCCGCCGTATCCCATCTCGTAGCACCACCACTGATTTTTGTCGAAATCCAACCATATCCATGAAATTGGCTTCCACAATCCACAGCAATGGAGTCCGATTTCCCTTCTCTTCCGAGTTTAATCTCCTCAAACCAACACAAGTTACCTGCCCTAAGAGCATCCCTGTTCGGTGCAATCTTCGCCGCTCTCACTACCTTCTCGCGGACGGTGAGATATATAATAATGTGTCAGCTCTATAATTTTGGGTGGTCTTTGTTATTGATTTTGATTCTGGGATAAGTTTCAGGCAGTTGTGTCTGTGATCGAAGATATTATTCGGTAGCCTTTAAAAGCATTGAAAGAAGAAACCATCTTGCGTTACGTGACTCCAATGCTAATTATGGATGGAGGTTTGATCGTGAGCAAGAAACTTCTACCTCATATAATAGAGGTGAAGACATTGGACTGGTTTTATACTTGCTTGCTTAGTTTATTTGCTAGCAGAAGATATTAAAATGCTGTTTGTATTGAGTTCATCTTATATGCTACGCTTTGGGATTTCATTCTTCTTGTGGAAATCTTCTCATACACATGTAATTTATAGCTTTACTGAAGTATGTGCTTTTGCTATATCATTGTAGGCATATTCTGGTATTTTAATAGCAAAGTGAACAAAATCAATGTGGTGAAAAGTTCTTGAAATCTTCTTGTCTGCTGCATTTGTAAGTGGAAAAATATCCAATTGCACTTGATAATTTAAGAGTTCACAAATATTCCTTTTGAAGCATCCACTCTCTGGCTGTCATTTACTATCCTTGAACCCTTCTGTCATTGCTCATTGCAGCAAACTGAATCCAGAGGGTTGTAGATGCTCTCTGTTGTAGTTTTCGAAAGCAAAGAACATGCATATAATGGTTACTGGCGATGTGTTCTGTTTGAATTCTTGTAGCTGGCAATTGAATATTTCAGGAAGGAAGGCGAGCCTTAATGCTATCAATGATAAAGAGAGACCGTGTACTGATACCTCTGGTGGTGGTTCAGGACATATGGATTCAAATACTGCAGATTATATCTCTTCTCTCAAAACGGTCGCCTTTTGTGTATGTATCTATATCCATCTAATGACTGGTTTTTCATTTGACACTTTCGTAAATAATAACCTGAATTGGAATCAATATAATAAGTCTTCATCATAGGTGCTATCAGCTGTGACATTTGGTATTGGTTTGGGCTTCAAAGATGGAGTGGACAAAGCATCCGAGTTTTTTGCTGGGTATGAGTGTTGGCTTCTTAAATACTTATTATCACCAATACTAGGAGTGGTGTGTCTATTGTTTAAGACTGAACCCATAAGATCATAATTCTTGTTGACTGGAATTTAATAAAGTTCATTTGAGTATTTTCTGATTCAGTTTAACTTTTTCTAAAAGTTAAAGAAAAGCATATTAGAGAGCCTGTTCATGTCTATTGATACAGAAATGGTATCATAAGATGATATAAGCATGAGGACGGGCTAGACCAGTATGATATAATAACATGTTCAAATAATTCTTTTTCTTTTTTTTTTTGAATATTTGAGTTCCTTATATTCAGTTCATCTTTTGATATAACAGTCACATTATATGTGCCACTGAATTCTCGCTGACCCCTTTTTTAAGCAGATTTTATTTATTTTTTGCTTTCAGGTATTTACTGGAGCAGAGTTTATCAGTAGACAATCTCTTTGTGTTTGTCTTAATATTCAACTATTTCAAAGTACCGTTTGAGTATCAGGTATAGACCCCTGGATGCTTGTTATTAATATTTTTCAGAGGTTGTAGTTCTCATTATTCGTTGAATTAACATTAGATTTACTAAACCAATTTTGAATTCATTATGGGAATATAGAATCGAGTTCTTTCTTATGGTATTGCTGGTGCTGTATTCTTCCGGTTGTCATTGATTCTTCTTGGAATAGCAACAGTTCAGGTGATTTGCAAATTGTTTTACTTCCATATGTGCTATTATATTATTATTATTATTTGAACTTTTTTTTTTTTTTTTTAAATGCCATCATCAGAAATTTGAGGAAATCAACCTGTTGTTGGCGGCAATACTATTGTACTCTTCATTCAAGGTGCCCTTCCTCTGCTGTAACTTCTGAATTTTTACTTGGCAACTTCAATGTTCATATTTATGCAAATTAATTGGCAACCTTTTTTTTCTAGGAAAAAAATGACAGTGGCTATGAAATTTCTATTTTTTTACTAGTATTTTTATTTCCTTGTTTTTGCTTCTCTCAATTATGCTATGTTTCACACCTTTTCCATTAGAATCATATGAGATCCACAACAATAGAGAACAACCCACACTATATAGCTTGATAAACTCTTAAAATGCATATTTAATTTATCTTGCACACTTGCTGAGGCTTTGTGGAGCTATGAAGGTTCCCGTTGGTAGCCCTGCCCATAGCTGCTTCAGAAAAAAAAAAAAAGATATATATTCTGTCCTGCTTGATTACTGATTGATGATTATAAAATTGTATAATCTTTTATCCTTAAGTTGTTTCTTGACATTATTCTTGCATTGTCATAGTTATTCTCTGAAGAAGATGAGGATACTGATCTCTCAGATAATTTCATTGTAAAGACATGCCAGAAATTCATCCCTGTAACATGTAATGCTCTCTCTCTCAGTCAAAATTATGCAAACAGAATGTGTAAGAACGTTCACTCAGTTAAGCTCAATTGGTTCGAAACTAACTAAACTATATTGCTATCATATCTTTGAGTGTGTTATTTTGTGGTTTCTTTTTTCCAATTTTTATATAAGAAGCATTCATCCAACACCAACCACTATTTTCACATCAAAAACATCTAAACAAAAACACAAAAGAACGCACCCTTTGTTGCAGGCTTTCAGCCTAGTCTTTTTCCTTCCTTTTTTTGTCCTTTTTATGATTTGTCATCACGCAATCTCTTTGTGAAAGTTGTGTATATATTTATATCATCCATATAGAGAGTTGTTTATGGGAGTTGAAACTATTGTCATTTAGTTTTTTATCATCAAATACACAGCATGTGTTGAACTAAGACTTGTTTCTCACTGTGCAGCTAATTATGATGGGAATCGATTCATAACTGTTCAAAATGGCATGTGGAAGGTAAACTCACAGTGGAGCACAGGCAAAGTTGTCTAAAATTGTATCATTATTAATTGTGAATTGTGGACAAATAGTCACAGCAAACCCACGATTCTTAAATTGATAAGAGTTATCTATCCTCCTAATAACTTTCATGCATTGAATTTAGCATATGGTTTTCATGTAAGCTTATCTTGAATTGATTTTTAGTTTGGTTTCTAACAGGAGTAAAACATTTTGGCAGGCCACACCTTTGCTCCTAACCGTGGCAGTTATTGAGCTCAGCGACATTGCATTTGCTGTAGGTATCCCAATTTTCTGTGACATGAGAAACATGTTTGGATGCTATATCTTCTAGTTTTATCATGTGATTTTTATGATTGTTTATTTTTTTAAGGTGGACTCCATACCAGCGGTTTTTGGTGTGACACGGGATCCTTTCATAGTTTTTACATCTAATCTCTTTGCAATTTTAGGTCTGTTCTCATCCCTGTTCCATCTTTTTAGTTTCCTCGTAATCTATGGCATATCTAACTAGATTCAGATCATATGATACCACAGTTAATCTATCTTCTAAAAAGAAGATCCTGAAGCAATTTTTTTTTTTTTTTTTTTCACAAAAAGGAAACGACAAGTAATGCCATTTCTCCATTTAAATTTGGATATTAGCAATATGAAACATATTTTAGTCAGCTGTTTTATCTTCCCCCATTGAGAAATATGTAATCCTATATGAAATGATGGTAATATTTTAAAGATCAAGTACTTTACTCTTGAAGCATTTATCTGGATTCTTTATTTTACTAGCAATTCTTGTTGCAGGTTTAAGGTCATACTACAAACTTGTCTCGGAAAGCATGGCAGAATTAGAGTATTTGCAGGTGAGGTTCACATGCTATATTTGTATAGAGGATCGAAGCTTATAGAAAATTAATGTGGTTCCATGTTAGAATAGGAGTAGCAGTTACTTGTGGTTTTCCTATTTATTCATTGTATTAGTGAAATCTCCTAATTTTATTGATTGATTGTGATATTGTGTTTTTGCTGGGTACCATACCATAACTGGTCTGGCTTCCTGCCAATAGCCAGCCATAGCTGTCATTCTGGGATTCATCGGGAGCAAGATGATTCTAGATTTCTTTGGTAGGTGTGTTGGATTGCTCGCCTTGACCAGTTTCATTGTTTGTTCATCCATTTATGGCTGTGTGTGTGCACGTATGATGCAGGTTTGCGCATACCGACTGAAATTTCCCTGGGATTCGTAGCTGCATCTCTCACCACAGGGGTGCTGCTAAGTTTGATCAATAATAAAGAATCGGGGTGAGTAAATGTCTGTGTCTGTCTGAACAAGAAGAGAAGAGAAGAGAATCCAGATGAGACTGACCGACTTCCTTGTATCTTCCTTGATTATACTTCCTTGATTATACTTCCTTTCTTCTCATTCTTTCTTCCTACCATCTGTACACTTGTATCTTGCCCTTGAGGAAGATTTGAAGGGATTCTTCTTAGATGTGTATATATGTATATGTGGAAGGCAAATACCATGTTTCTGACTCTGAGATGATGTTACATTCAAATAGGAGTACTAAAAAATAAATATAAAATTAGTTTCTGTTTCTCTAGTCATCCAATTTGATTATTATTTGCATTTTGTACCCTTCCTACACTATAATTTCTTTATCATTTTCCCCTGCACTTTTCCTGCATATCTTCACTTCAACGTTTGTAGGCCATATCCTTTACTTTCCAGCTAGGCGGCATGCCGCATGCATTGTAGGTTCTCAGTCCTCAGACCACAAGTTTTGCATGTCATACCTGATATATATTATTGAAGGCCTAATTAAAATGAAAATTAACTATATGTAAATTTAATTATTTTCAAAACTTATTATAAATTAAAATTAAATAAAATAAAATAAATTTTATTATATATATTATTTTGTTAAAAAAAATCTTTGATTTTATTTTTACAAGATTATACTAGTATTCAATAAATTTTCTTATATTATGTCATTAAATTGCATTTTTTAAAAAATATTAACCTATATTAAACCTGCTATTATTTTTAAAATTAATTATGCCTGAGGAATATATTTTTATAATTATTATTTATTAATAATATATATAATTATAAAGTCCAACCTTGCTTGCTAATCATATATAGCCTTCTCCACTTTAATTCGGATCTTGCAAGGAGAGGATTACTCTCTTCCGTTCAAAATCTGAACAGAACAGTTCTTAGGCTAAAAACACATGCATGCACGCCACATGGCTTCTGATGATGAGAGTAAGGTTATTTCCATGATTTGATTCAAAATTTCCGGAATGTTTTTATTTTTTTGTTATAGATTATCGATGAACAATAGATTGTTTAATACCTTCTAACCGTTTTTTGATTAGGAATGTGTCTTTCATTCAGTTGATTTTGATTTTGATTTTGATTTTTCTTGTGAAGGTGAGGAGATCCTCTGCAATAATACAAAAGGACTTAATGTAGATATAGATCAGAACAGTCTATAGCACCATATATTTTGATTAAGAAGTAAAGCGATATGGGCAGTGGAGTTAGAATCGATGTAAAGTATGTTGTTGTCCTTGTTGAGCAAGCGCTATTTTCATGATGATTCCAGGTAAGTAATTAAGATACATGTTCAATTTGTATTTCTGATTCTTCATCAATGACTTTATACAATAATATTCACAGGGATTCCTATGGATTTACTGTGAGGCCTCAGCATATTCAAACATATCGTGAGTATGCCAATATCTACAAGGTAATTAATTAATTTTTCCCATATTTCAATCGATCTACTTTGTATTCATTCCTCAACATAAACAAACAAACATACAACTGCTGCCAAGCCAGCTAAAGATTGCAACAAAACATTACAGGAAGAAGAAGACGAGAGATTGAAGAAGTGGAAGAACTTTATCCATCAGCAGCCAATTTCAACAAGTGCCAGTAGTAGTAGTTCAGATGATATCAAACCAGCAGTTTCCGGGGATATCGAACAGCCAAGTGATTCTACTCAGATTGACAGTGGAGAACATTCAACTGAACTAAGTCCTCACTATTCTAAACTTTCGGAAGAGGAAACCGAACTTCTTCAGACTCAAGAACAAGATCTTACTAGTGGAGAAAAAGATGATTCAGCAGTAATAAAGGTTGGGGATGATTCTCAAGTCACAGAAAGGAAAAGTGATTTTGTTCAAAATGACACTCAAGAAGATGATAGAGATCCAAGTGGAGAAACAGATGATTCGATTGAGCAAAAGCCAAGGATTTCTGAGCTTTCAGAAAATGAGGCCGAGTTCGTCCGAAATGTGAGTGCCAAAGGTACTGATACTCAGGAGCCAAGTCTTCCACCCAAAGCAACTCCAACTAATCAACAAACCAAATCCAGGGAGGTAAAGACATGGTTTAAGATTAGCCCATCTCTCCATTTGATCGAGCAAATGATGAGCGCCCGCATAAAGAAGAACGAAAAAATAAAAAGTTTGCACAATAATCTTCCATCTATCAATGAGTCTGATGAAGACAAGGAAGAAGCATCCAATGATAATGCAGCGGGAAATAACACCTATGATAAATTATCCCAAGAATCTGATTTCCCATGGAAAGAATTGGAGTGTCTTGTACAAGGGGGAGTGCCTAAAGATCTTAGAGGAGAGGTACATACATACATATATATATATATATATATCCCAACACTTACATACATAGTATTTGTTTTGTTTAAGATTCCTTGCACTATATATCTCAAGTACCTAAATGTTTCTGGATTTAATCAATGGAGCAGGTGTGGCAAGCTTTTGTTGGTGTGAGAACACGCCGGGTTAAAAGATATTACCAAGATTTGCTGGATATTGGATGTGATGATGAATTACCTGAGAAGTTGAAAAAGCAGATTGAGAAGGTCATTAGATGCATATATGGGTCCTGGACTTTATCCTTCACTCTTTTTAATTCATAGGTGCTGCTTCCTTTTAGGGTTCATCTAGCTAGGATCGATGATGGCCTACAACAATATTTACTGCCTAATTTCTATCAAATCGATTTGATAATTTATCATCTGTGGCTTATAATTTGTGTTAAATGACAATCTCATCTAAAAACTTACTAAACTCGTAGGAAAATAAACTTCCAACACTCCCTCATATGCAAGGTAGATTGATTTCACACGAATCTTGCACTTGGACAATTTTTTTAACAGGTGCGGTGCCGGTGGGACTCGATAACTTTTAGAAATGTCCATCTCGTCTAAAAGTTTGAAAAACTATATAATATGTAACTAATGATACATGTGCTTGCTTGGAAGATTCTACCTTCCAACACATGAGATGAGATGAATCCGGCTTCCACATGAGATGAGATGGTCATTTAACAATTTGCATAGAGAATGAAGTCAGATTCTTTTGTAAAAAATGCAAATTTTCACTTTCAACAGCTTCATCAGATAGATGAATTTTCATATTCACATAACTTCTTTCTCAGAAAGTTTCTCGACCTCCTCTGTGCATAATTTTCATATATATATTTCGAACTTGGAGTGCTCTGAATTTTAGATGAACTAATTTCTTGTTGGCCTGCTGCAGGATCTGCCTCGAACATTTCCTGGTCACCCTGCACTAAATGATACTGGCAGAAATTCACTGAGACGTGTACTCTGGGCATATGCACTCCATAACCCCTCTGTCGGATATTGCCAGGTGATTTTTGCCTTAATATACTTTTACATTCTCATAATATGTTGAATTAGAAGATGGTTGGTGATGAAAGAAACCAAAATAATTCTCGATTATAAGATCATGAAAAATGCATACTGTCAACAACAGTGGTTTCTTCCACAATTTACTAAATACATACACACACTCAGAGGTTGTGCCATTTATACCATTGTAGAAAAGAAATTCAAATGAAAGAGAAGCAACAGTCATTATTAAGTATTGAAAACTCAGATTTGGAAGCTTACATTAATTTTTGGATCTTGTGGCATAAGCTCTCACATCATTGATTAATAAATTTTGGTTTCTTTTTCTAAAATCAGTTTCTGTGTGTTGCTTCTTGCTATCAATGTCCTTTCAGGCTATGAACTTTTTTGCTGGTTTATTTCTTCTGATGATGCCGGAAGAAAATGCCTTTTGGTAAGATAGCCATGCTGATTAGCTTAGTAACACAACTTTCTTATATTTTCGCTTCCAATTTATTTATTTATTTATTTTTTTTTTTTCGTATGTTTAATTGCATGAGTATATATAGACATTCAAAAGCATAAATTGATAGACACAGGTTTAATGTCGACATGTAATTCTAGCACTAGCACTAGCACTAATAATACCACTCACTAATATACAATTATAATTTCATGTTCGAAATATAATAAAATATTATATTGTAAGAATATAATTATTAAAATAAATTTGATATCACAACAATTTATTGAAATAATTTTGATAATCAAAATAATTTATCGAAATAAATTTGTTAATCTCGTCGAGGTATAACTTTTCTCCTTAAAACCCCGATAGTTCCTCTAGTTCGTGGCGCAATGTTTCCAAAGATTAAATGACAGTCATGTTCGAATTAGGTGGTACCCCAATAATTCGGAGTTCCGACGAATTAAAATTAGGTGAATTTCGAGTTAGGGATGTCAATTCGAATTTCAAGCCATATTCGTGCCGGGTTGATCTTAAGATAGAACAAAAAATTTGTCAACCCGAACTCGACTTTCAATCTGAAATTCTAAACCCAAACATGGCACTAATTTTTTTGGGTCAGGTTCAGGTTAATCTAATTTTGTTTCAGGGTACCCAATAACTCGTATGAATCAGAAGAATCTAACATGAAACGGATCCAAAAACCTAAAACCGACATAAAATAGACCCGAAAATTTGAAAATTAACATGAAACAAGCCCAAAAACCTAAAAAAATTTAAATTTATCTAAAAAAAACCAATGCGAATAAAATTCAAAATTTGGATTTTGTTTTTTTTAACTAGAATATTCCCTCCGTCCCATAAATATATATATATTCATTTGTTTTTTACACGGAGTTTTAGAGATATTAGTATTATATTTGGATAAAGTAAAAATAAAAATAAAAAGATTAAATTAACCCTATTAGTATTGTATGATATAACGGTAATGATATTTGTGTAATATATTGTAAATTGGAAGGGTATTTGTAATGTTTTGGTAGATAGTACAATTATTAAAAAAAATGGATCAAAATGAAAAAATAGATAAATTGGTAAGGGACGGAGGGAGTATTATTTATTTATTTTAAATTTTAACCTTTTATATTATTTTAGTTTTTAATATTATAATTTTAATTATAAAATAAGATTAAAATAAGGTCGGGTATGGGTTTCGGGTTATGTAGTGACCTGATTTCTATATTCCGGGTTATCAAGTCAACGCGAAACATGACCTAATCTAGCCCAATTTTTTTATTTTGGGTTTGGGGTCAATTTGATTTTTGAAAAACTCAGAAACACCTAAACATGAATTTACGGAATATATTAAAGAGGAAAGGGAGATGCTTTGAGTTGTGTTTGGAATGCATGGAGGAATGGGTTTATATATGCATCCAAACTATGGGTCATTGAATTTTTTTCACTTGTAATTATGCATGCATCTGCATTTTTGGTGCTAAATACATTTTCTTGAACTTTGAGTTCAACAAAGATATTTTATTATTTTGACTTAGATCTAGAGCCAATAGATTTCATCAAATCTAGTTTTCACGAAGCCTAAGCCTCAACTCATGACCTTAATTATCTGATTTGAGCAAGAACGGTATTCATATGCCTAAACCACTATATAGTCCATATACATGTCAACTTACAAAAAATCGGTTCCAAAGATTCGGAAACAAATGTAAATAAATTAAATTTTCATCGATTAAATAATTAATCAATTATCAAACAATCCCCACATGAGAAAATATCATAGACATAGCTCAATTCCAGATACATTGATGCGTCATGATAGGTTGCTGATGATTTTGAACATTCCTTAGTCAATATCATTGTATGCATTGGTGGTCTAGTTGACACGATGCATTAAACTATTATACCTTGGTGTAAATCTTAGTCAATAATATTAATATATCGTTATCTCAACCTCAACTTTTTTCACATTTTGATCCGTTTTAGCCATAGATCACATTTTTGAATTCATAAGTGTTTTATTTGAATGACTCTCACTTCACACTTATATAGGTAATCCTTTTTAAAGTATTCAACTCTACTTTTAGAATTATTAAGCGTTAGTGACTCAATCTCACCGGTTTGCACTTTGTAACACTCTTAGTTTTTCAAGGAATGATGATCGAATATTTGTGCCGAACTATTATAGGGTAATTTTTCCATTGAACTGAAGTTTAGGATGTGATTTAGTTGGGTTACTACTGTAATTAGTCTCTTAACTTGTGGATTTCAAACCGATTCCTTTAGCAGCTTGCACATTTGATCACGATGTAACCATTTAGTTAACGGATCTGCAAGGTTTTATGTTGACCTTACATAGTTAATAATCATAACTCCACAACTGTCTTATAGTGTTGTGTCTCCGTAGGATATGTTAGGATTTATCATTGTAAATTATATTCTTAGCTTTTGCTATTACAGCTCGGCTATCGCCAGTGTATCAGAACTGGACGTACTGGTTTCGTCCAAAATTAAATATCATCCAAATTTGTTTTAAGCCATTCAGCTTCTTTACCGGCTTTGTCTAAAGCGATGAATTCTGATTCCATGGTGGACCGTAAGTTTGTTTTGTGGACTTCCACGAAACTGCTTTTTCTCTTATCGTAACATATATATGCTTGTAAACAATGAATTTTTGTGTCAAATATTCAGTTAGCATCACAATATCCTTCAATTTTTGGAGAATATCTCATGTAGTGTATGCCAAAAAAATCGAGAGTATATTTTAAATAGTTCAAGACTCTCCACTAGCACATTCCAATGTTCGTGATTTAGATTGCTAGTATAGCAGTTCAATTTGTTTACTTGAAAAACTAAATCGGGCTTTGTACAATTAGTTAGGGACATAAGGTTCCTAATTATTTTGGCATACTCTTCCTGAGCAACATGATCACCTTAATTTTTGCCCAGGTAAATACTTAGGTCCATGAGAGTTTTTGCCGAAGTATTATATAAAACATTGAACTTTCTCAGCTTTCTCAATATAGTGAGACTGAGTTAGAACAATTTCTTCGTTGTTTCTCAAATTTTGCATTCCAACAATAACATTGGCGACTCCCATGTATTTCCTGTGGGAAGTCTAGAATAGTTAATTACTTTGAATTGGCGTTTTTTGTTTTTGGCAATCTACAGTCCTTTGCCACATGACATGCTTTTCTGCAGTTAAAGCATTTATCGCTCTACCCTTATTTTGGTGAGTTGGGCGAGCATGTTTCTTAGAAGATTCTTCATCTAAGTTAGCTTCGGTGAACTCTTTGCCTTTGGCTTTATGCTATTTCCTGTTGTCCTCCTCGATATGAATTCGGACAATTAGGTCTTCAAGCTTCTTTTTTTTTCAGCCCGTACTTGAAGTTGTTCCAACTCTGGTGATGAACTTTTTTTGGTAAGGCCATGTCTTCGTCGAACCTATTCAACAATAGACTGACCATTGACCATTTTATAGTCCATGAATTGGCTACAACAAATATTTTGAATCCAACCTTTCTGAACCAGAACTTTCCACAGCCCTCCGGCCATATTTATTTTACAATAAACAATATATAGACAGATCGAAAAACTACCGAATATAGTGTTATGTTCTACGTAATCACCGTAAGCCTAGAAGACATAGTTTGCATGTGCCTAGTAGTCAACATTGGGCTCCGGTTCAGGTGGACCGTCCTACAGCACAAACAATGCAAAACCTACCAATCTCAAGTAAAATAACATATTTTCTTTGTCATTGTTTGAAATGAACTCCTTTGAGTGGTTGAATAACCGACACCTGGGCATCATTCGTGGGCATATCCCGGAGCGGCTGTCAGGGCCACAAAAGGAACTGCATTTTGGGCTGCAAACGCCGGGAAGAGTGCAGAAACGAACCCAGTGAACCATCTAAAGCCTCCGGGAGTAAACTCTACGAACCTGGCAGTTGGACCAATATATGCCGGTGTGGGGCTGGCATTGTTGGAGGTCTAAGAGCTCTTCGTCTTCTTTAACTCCTGTGGTTCACAATTTTTTGAAGGAGCATTCATGTCTCAGGGTATGCAACGGGTAAATCGAGCGGGCAGTTGATTATCTGGTTGTCTCCAGTTGAGAAGCGGCTTGGAAAAGTTGACAATAGATCCACTGTGGTTGTTCCTTGTTGCTGGACGCATTTTCAAGTTGCTTGGTTGGGGAATAAAGTTAGCGAATGGTGACAAACTGCTGAAATGTTGGTATAATTGTCTGTAAGGCTGCACCTGAAGATTATCCTCGATGGCTGTACACAACTTCATAACTGTCTCTAGGTCTCCAGGTCTGAAAAGGCATAGAGAACTTCAACTTGGATCCTTTAGGCCTTTCATAAAGTAGCTCAGGTAGTGCACATCCGCCAAACCTGAAACTTATAGTTGAAGTATTACAGTCTTGTAGTAATCCACTGAACCCCACCATAACTTTATTTTGATATAAAGGAACGTGGAGGCTATTGGGCAAATTGTAGATCCCGTTAGATTGTTCTTATCTTATTCATCATGTTCCTATCACAATCTCTCTTCTCTGTGCAATAAGTCATCAAGACATACATCTATAGAAGGAACCAGATTTTTATTTAACAATCCAGCTCTGACCACTTCAAATTCATTCCTTAATTTTAGAGATTGGTTGTTCTTACTATCTTCATGTACTACTTGAACACTGGCTAAGGCTTCCCTTGGCACTTTACAATAGATTATAATAGAATATTCGCCATAAATTAAGGAATCAAGAATAATACTGCTCAATAGAGAGCTTACCTTTGATGAGATACACACTTCAAATGATCCCACATATCCTTTACAGTATTGAAGGAGTTTAAATTATTCACCATAGGAGCTTCAATAGATGTTAAAATCCAAGAAATAATTCTAGCATCTTTTGTCTCCCATTGACTAAGCTCTTTACCATCTCTAGCTTCTGTACAACTCCAATCGATATGACTCCAAAATTCTTTTCCTTCTAGGAACATCCTAACTCAAATTTCCCATGCTGTGTGCACTATTTTTCAATAAACCTGATAGCCAAAGATTCCATGTGCTTTTTTCCAAAACGGTTTCCATAGACATTCTTCAAAGAATTCGCAAAAAAGAGACCTGAAATCTATACAAGAAAGACTGTCAATCACAATATGATTGTCCAAAAAATGATATCTTGAAACCAAATGACTGATAAAAATAATCAATCCAAGAAGGACAGCAAGTCAAAGAACTTTGAAGGACTGAGAAATTCAATAACAAGCTCTACCATGGCAAAGTTTAGGGATCAAAGACTGAATTCTTTCCTCTCCCTTTACACTATATTTACATGAGTGTATATAAACATTCAAAACAACAAATCGATAGACATAAGTTAATATCTAGCACTATTCTAACACTAATTAATCCTAATAATATCTAACCCTAATATACAACTGTAATTTCAACCATGATCAGGATAAATCCCATAATTTGCTATTATTTTCCTTGATTGTAGCAATTAGAGACCAGAGTTATTGCCCCACATTTTCTACCCTTAATACTCACAAGATACACCTTTTGCAAGACAATAAGTAAATAAAAAAATTTTCATTGTTATATGTTAATCAAAGGAAGGTTGGAGGATCTGGGGCTCAATATTTCTGTGGTTTTCACTTTTCAGTCAGTGTACTATGCTAATACTCTTCCGAAAGCCTTGAATTCCCAAATTCATGTGAGTAACTCAATTGGGACATCCGTATTGATAACTTGTCTGTTTCTATAATTGTGTATGATTAGTATGATGGAAAAGTTTCATTGATAAGCATATCTCTAATCCATATATTCTATAGCGATTTATATTATAAAAAAAGAAAAAAAAAAACCACATTATTAACATACCCGAATCCATTGAGTTCCTTGATGCGAAATTGAAAACTCGAAGAGTTGATATTACGGTTTTCCTTAACTAAATCGCCTAATGGGTCATTCATAATCTATTCTGATGGGGAAAATAAAGAACAATGATTGATTTAGTGTATTGGGGACCATACCGAATGTTCTTTATATAGTGATCAATAAGTCATCCATAATCACCTAATTGACATGCTATTTGATATCTGCTCAATTTATCTCATAAGGTAATAATTGACTTCTTCCGTAATTGAATCACGTAATTTAAGTCAATCAAATAAATAATTGATTATTTCTATAATCAAATCTCGTAATCTAAGTCAATCAAATAAATTATTGATTATTTTTATAATTAGATTACGCAATTTAAGTCAATCAAATAAATCAGAATAGCTAATATATATTTTCCTTCTGAATTTTCTTGTCCTTGCATGGCTACCTTATCACATTTTACTTGTTTTCCTCTAAATTCCATTGTTTCTTCATCAATGTTATTTTTTCTTGGCCCATGTTCCCTCTCTTATTTGATTCCCGATTCTTCGTGTTTAAACACATACACCATGTTTCTAGCAACTCTTGATAAGCATGAACTTCTATTGCTTACATTGAGCTTAATTACTATAATTACCCATTTGCTAACGATGGGATATAAAGGTTGACTGTATACTAAAATCTAAGAGATATAATTTGGATATGATTTAGATATGATTTGGATATTATTCGCATAGACTTAGACTAAAAATAGACATTTATTCTCACTTTAACATGTGTTTTGCGTATTCTATAGTAAAATTTCTGACTTGACACCGTCCCAAACGTAAATCATTCTGATCGAACTGAGTAACCAAATTTCTGTGTTCTTGTTTGCCTCTTTTTGATTTCCTGAGTTTTCTCATAACAAATAAGTCAATAATAGATGAGTTATGAGCCCTATTTACTATTTGTTGTCATTTGTACTAGCTCAAACATTTTCCTATCACAGTAATTACATGATACATCAGTTAGCATGTGAAGAAATATAATGGCCATTAAGCATTTACCCCACAGGCGTGTACAGATTTGCAAATGTTTGTCTGACATTACATTAATCACTAAAAAAAGTGTGAGTAACCTAAATTTTTGTATCAGTTAATTTGTTACAAACATTTCAGGACTTTGGTGGGCATTATAGACGACTACTTTGAGGGTTATTTTTCACAAGACATGATAGAATCTCAGGTTTGAATTATGATGATTATTGTTCTTGAAAATTGTATAATTAGCTATTTTATGGAACTAACACACACCCAACTTTGTTCATTTGTAGGTTGACCAGCTTGTTTTTGAGGATTTAATGCGTGAGAGGTTCCCTAAACTTGGCATGTCCTCTATCATTATTCTCCCTTGCATTTGTACTTGCATGGAATAATGTGAAAACCTCATAATTTCCATGATCATCCAGTGACTCATCTTGAGTATTTGGGAGTGGAGGTGGCATGGATATCTGGGCCCTGGTTCCTTTCAATCTTTGTGAACATGCTCCCATGGGAAAGTGGTGCGGAATTTCATCATTAGTTATTCAAATTTTCGTCACATTATCCATAAATAAATCTGCTTATTTTCTCACAGGCTAAGAGATAATTCTGAGCTTCATGGAATAATACAGTTTTGGAAAATGTTTTTGGTTTCAGTTCTTCGAGTGTGGGATGTGATCCTGTTTCAAGGAAACCGTGTTATGCTCTTTCGAACTGCGCTTGCCTTGATGGATTTATACGGTAACGATGCATCTTCAGAAAGGAATATTATTTGCAACACGGAGTTTTAATGGCCTATTATTTTCAGGGCCTGCTCTGGGCACGACTAGGGATGCTGGCGATGCTATCACATTATTACAAACACTAACTGGTTCTACATTTGACAGCAGTCAACTTGTGATGACTGCTTGCATGGGTTTCTTGAGCATTACTGAAGATCGGTTGAATGAACTAAGAGCGAAGCACCGGCCAGCTGTACTGGCATCAATTGAAGAAAGGGCCAAGGGAAGTCAAGTGTTTAAAGATCCCAAGGGTCTTGCCACTAAGTTATACAGTTTTAAGCATGATCCGTCGCGATCAATAGTAAAGGAAAGCAGAACTGACTCGGGATCGGCTGATAAGGTAGATGTAGATGGAAGATCTGGTCTGCCCTCTCATTCTGCCAATTTGGATGAATATCTACAAGGGATAACCATTGATTCTGAAGTTGATTCTCTTCCAGATCTTCAGGAACAGGTAAGCTGAATGCAGCCCATTTGAGTAATCAACATATAGTCTGGATAATCGAAACATATGCCAGGTTTCTTTTTTAGTTTTTGGATTTATATAATTTTTAGGTGAATTAGTTGTTGGATATAATGTTTTATATGCAAAATGGGTGTTGAATGTCATAATTTGTAGGAAATTGAGATATTGTCCGTAAAAAAATATATATCAAAGAGAACAAATCCTAAAAAGGAATAATAATAATCAAAACGAACGTAATCAACTACTTTGAGAAATGATACTTCTTTTATAGTCTCATCTATTTAACTAGTGATGCATATATGTGAATTTTATATTACTGATTTTTTTTATCGATGTTATGTTTCCAATGATAATTTTTCCTGACATTTTAATATTACTGATTTAGTAAAAATACATAGACAAATGAGTGTTTGTTTAGGATTTATAATCTTGACATATCCATGTTTGGTGAAGCATAATATGTAATGGTGCGGTTTTTCAACAAAACTTTGCTTTTCCTTTCCCTTTTTTCTCTCTAATCTTTTAAAGTTAACACATTGTTACTCTCTGTCATTTTTATATTGGTGTTTTACCTATTTCTTACCACCCGTTTATGATGTGTTGTGTTTGCATAAAAATTTTTTATTGTCAGTGAGTAAATAACTGTGTTAATGTTTATATTGGCTATGGTTAATCATTGTTGATTGCACATCTTCATTTTGGAGATTCAACTATATTCACATTGAAATATATATATATATATATATATTCTCATTGAATTTGTTTCAGGTGGTGTGGTTGAAGGTTGAGCTGTGTAGGCTACTGGAAGAGAAGAGGTCTGCGGTTCTCAGGTAGGCATATGTTATCAAATATCAATAGAGGTCTGCTGAATGCACTAACTGTGTGATCGATGAGTAGGTGCCTCGCTAGGATCGTCTGATTGTATATTTTGAGCCAGAAGATATTTTAATCTCTGTCCGAATGCTTTGCCAGGAAGTGTATTATCGTTTTAGTAATTACTTTAACAAATCTTTCTTTTCTTTCTTTTGGGGATAATGTAGCTTAATAATAATCTGTAGTCTAGTGGAAAGCTTTCGTAAACATTTTATATGTAACAAAAAATGGTGATTGTTATTCGTAGGGCTGAAGAATTAGAAGCTGCCTTCATGGAGATGGTTCAAGAAGATAATCGAAGAGAACTGAGTGCAAGGGTATTTTAAGCCATCCTTTCTTGAACAAAATACAGTTCCCATTTACTGAAATATGTGCATGTGGTTCGTGAATAACACTAACTGAATATACAAGGAAGAACACTAAATTGCTCTGTGATATTCCCTCTCTCATCTTAAAATGTTTCCATTTCGTTTCTTTACAAAAAAAAATAAAAATCGTATCTCTTTTTCTATTTTATTTTTAATTATAATAACAAAAAGTGCAGCAAAATGCATGTTCAAAAATTTCGCGCTTCCTTTTAAACCTCATATAAAGTCACATCATCTCCAGGTGGAATCTATTCCCCTTTTTCTCGATTTCATACTTTTAATCTTGTAAAACAGAAATAGAAATGAAAAGGGGGAAAATGTGGATTCTGGTTCGATTATAATATAATCTGAATTTGTGTGAAAGTGTCAGTGTTTGCATTAACAGTCCTAATTTAAAAGATTCCATCTAGGTTGAGCAATTGGAGCAAGAAGTTGTTGATCTGCAGCAGGCTTTGGCTGATAAAAAAGTTGCAGAGCAGGCAATGGTTCAGGTTCCAGCTGCTGCCTCTCCTCTCTCATTCTAACATTATATAGAGAGGGATTAATCTGTATAGAAATGAATATTCATGAAGCTTTTGTTTTAGGTTTTGATGAAAGTTGAGCAGGAACAAAGGATAACTGAAAATGCTCGGCAATCTGCCGAGAAAGAAGCTGCAGTTCAGAGACATGCATTACAAGTTCTTGAGGTATTATTATTGTATCTTGTGTAAAAATTAATAGTCGATGTCCAAGCCCGATATTTAAAACATTTTAAGTTAGTCCTTAAACCCCATTAAGGCCGAAGATATGGAGGAAATAATTTCAAATTCATGGTTTCACACTGCATCAAATGCATATATATGCAGGGAAAGTATCAGGCAGCCATGGCTGCCCTTGCTGATATGGAAAAGAGGACTGTTATGGCAGAGTCTATGCTGGAAGCGACGATTCAGTACGAATCCGGGCAGGGTAAAGTCACTTTATCTTCTCCAAGGTGGGTGAGAATCAATTAATTAATTACTTAACTTGTTTCTCAAGATGTATATGTACTATTTTATCGTCAATGTTTTTGAAAATACGAAAAATGAATGCATTGCAGGTCTAATGCCGATGATGCTTCAAAAAAGAGTGGTATATTCTCGTTGAGCAATCTTGGTTGGCGCGACAAGAACAAGGTATGTATTATTATATATGCGAAGATCCTTCTTCCTACCTTTATTTACTCATGCATCATTTTGTCGTGTTGGTTGAGTCCCATAAAATATAAATAAATAAATGATACGTGAGGGGCATGAGCTTGTCATTTAACATCATCTAAAAAGTCCATTAATATCGACGAGTCCTGCAGGGAAAATCAAACAATGATGGAGACAGCAAACCTCAAATCGAAGCTTCTGACAAAACTCGTATTACTGAGGGTGCTGATGCCGATTCCAGCAATCATCCCAAATAGATCAAGAGAGATCACTCATAATTCTAGTAAAATAATATTCCTATTAATTAATTAATTAAGAAGAATCTCTCTAGGTATATATAGCTAAGCTAAGATCAGGTAAGGTATATTTGTACACAAGAAGGAATAAGAAACCATACATTCTTTGATAGTACTGTTAATGTTGTTTAGGACAACATAATTGTTATCATATAATTAGTATTATTATATTGGATAAATAACAGTAATACTATGCTCATACTACTGCTTAATTGGTAATAGTATCCATGCCCTTTCATGTATTGTATTTGTAGTAGTGCCTGTCATTACATTGCCTCACTCGATTAATTGCTAAGGCTTCATGCATGTTCTGAACCTTCTGTTTGATTAGGACACAGACACCAACTTTACTATTTTTGTAAGATATATATATATATATATATATATTCCTTCCGTTCGATTGAAATGATACCATTTTTCATTTTCGTCCGTCCCAAAACAAGGATACTATTTTCTAATTTAGTAATTGTACTATCTATTTAACATAATAAATAACCTTTCGACTTACAATATATTACACAAATATCATTACTTTTATATTACACCGTACTAATAGGAGTATTTTTGTATTTTTTTACTATAATACTACTATTATCTACACGCACAATAATCCCCTTCAAATGTTTTCTTTGCAACAATTGCTTCTTCATATGTCACAAAATTATCGCAAGGGGTTTTAGCAAAGTATTTTGCCAGGGATTTAATTTTGGCTTTTTCAGTTGTTGCTGGGAATTAAAATTTTTGCTAATTTTCTTGCTAAAACTCCCCTCTAAATCTCTAGTCCAATTCCTTCTCTAAATCCCTTAATCTACCGTTAATTCATTCTACCAATTACAATCAAATTAAAATAAACCAATTCCGATAAAAACAAATTATATTAAACCGATTCCAAATAAATTATATTAAATTTATTTCAACTAGTTATTCAATATAAATTACATTAAATTGATTTCAACCCATTCTAAATAAATTATATTGTATTAATTTAAAAATATATTAAATTAAATCTATTCCAGCCAATTTGAAACTAAACTAATTACATTAAACCAATTCCAATAAAAAAATACATGTTATTTTCAAAATATTCCAAATAAAATAAATTTAATTCAATCTAGTTCAACTAATTTAAAACAAATTACATTCAACTAAATTGGGTTGATTTTGTAGCATACTAAAATGATGGGCCTCTACTCTTGGGCCATGTGAGATTGAAGTGGGCTCTTTTGTTTTGAATATGATTTTATGAAAGATTATGTAGCCATGCATCAGCATAGCATATGTAGTTTCTCTCAATTGAAGAAACTCTCTCCCTCCTACTTGGCTTGCTTAGGGCACCCGCAATCCAGAAATTCGATTTTTTTCCATTCTCTATCTGCGCTAGCTTTTCTTTCTCCACGAAAAACTTCAATTATATTTTATATCCACATCAAATAACCTTTTAAAATCTCTATTATTTCCAACTTATTAAATATTTTATATTATTTATAAAATAAAATTATATTTTTCAATAATATTTTATTCTTATAATATTTAATAAAAATAAAACAATTATTTAGCATAAATATATAAAATAAATAAATATAATAATTTTACACTTGCATAATAATTAAAGTTCAAACTCAAATTTAATAAAAAAAATACATAATATTACAATATATTTTTCAAATAAATTAAATAGTCGATTGACCAAACTTATCCCAAATGTGTTCAACTAGTTATGAGGCGTATTCTATTATTCTGTATTGTGTGTAATTTTAATTATTGTGTATCATATTATGAATAGTTTTATACATTTTCAATTAATATTTGTATTGTGTATAATTTTAATTAAATCATGTAAGTTTACTTTTAAATTTATGAATATTTTCATTTACTTTTATTTTTATTTGTATTATGTGTAATTTTAATTAAGTTATATATGTTAATAAAAAAATATTTTTTAATCAATAATTATAATTAAATTAATAGTAGATATTAAATTAAATGTTTTATAAAATATTCAGTAAAAACTATTTAAGATAAAAATAAAAATATATTTAAATTTTCTATTATTACAAATATTAAATAAAATTTATTTAATAAATTTAAATAAAATCTTTAAAACAAACAAATTAATATAAATATGATATATATATATAATTTTAATATTATTTATTAAATATAAAAATAGGCACCTTGGCCCACCCAAAAAGAAGAATTACATGAAAGAACTCTATTTTCGTAGCATGCGGTTCTTGTGTCAGACAAATTTTTTTATTTTTCAGTAAAATGGTGACGTGGGAGACGCTAAATTCGTTGTGGATGGTCTCAGTGGCATTTTTTTAAAATCTAAAAATAGGTTGCTGCATAGAGCAACCCAAAAAAAATCTTTCAATTTTTTATTTTGTATTTATTTATAATTTATTTTTTTATATATTATATAAAACTTTATTTTTTATCAAAATGATATATATTGATATACTTTTATTTAAATTTAATTTTAAAATAAATTATATTGATATAAAAATAAATATATATATGTAATTTTTTGTTGAAATAAAAAAGTAAAATGATGATGTGGAAATGAAGAGAAACTTTTGATAAGTTTCTTTGATGTAGATGGTTTAAGTAGAGATGGCAAATGAATCAGGCCGAATCAGGTTCAGGTTCGGGTTATGTATAAATGGGTTAAAAAACTACTGACCTGAACTTGACCTATTTAATTAAATGGGTTGATGTGTTTAACTTTAACCTGACCTTTTATTAATCGGATCAACCCGAATTTAATCTACATAACCGGTTTAAATTTAAAGATTCTAAATTTCATACTAAAGTCACAATTTTCACTAACAAAAATTTTGAAATGAATAATATATGATTAAATATATACTAAAAAAAATATTCATATTATGAAAACCGATTTCCGAAAATCTAATTAACAAATACCGTACAAAATACTAACCCAGAAATATTTGTCTCATATTATAAAGTTATAAGGTAATAACAAACCAACAATACAATTTTTTTTTTCTACTATCATCCTTAATTAACAAACACAATTCAGGATCACCACTATCCACCTCAAATTTCAGCATTGGAACTCATTAATTTTCCACATTAATCATCCAATTGATGATCTATTTTTCCTATTAAACACATATAGATACAAATGCAAATAATTAGACTTATATTGATAGAACAAAAAATATTTAATTAATTAGTAATATATAAATTTATTACCTTCTCAAAATGTCCAATCTCGCAGGCAAATAATTGCCTCAACAATAGACGGTTCCAACGAACTTCTAAAACAATCAAGGACTCTTTCGCTAATACTAAATGCCGATTCCGAAGCCACAGTTGATATTGGAATTGCTAATACATCCTTAGCCATTTAAGAAATGATATGATAACGAATTGCAGTAGAATTCCAATATTTCAAAATATTTATATCATTTGTGCGAGATACTAGTGGCTCTTCATAATAAAGTTTCAAATCAGATTTTCCATTTCACCAATATCAGAATTTGAGAAGCTGTTAAAATCCTGAAAATATAATATTAAAATAAAATAATAATTAAAAATATTTCTCATATAAAATATAAAAGAATATAATACAATAAAAAATTATTATATAATTTTATTGTCATAAACTCATCACAGGATGCGTCAGAAGTACTTTTGTCTTAATTGTCCTCATTTTTTAATTGTTCTCATTTTTTAATTGTTCTCATTTTTTAACGGTTCTTGTAATGCAGATGAAAATTGTAATGCACGAGAATCATACAACCACTTCATTTTCTCTTTAAGATTAAAAGCTCAAAGTCATAGTCTTCACCAATCCCATAAATTTTTCTCAAACTGCATTTAACAAATTGCAACTTGAAACGATGATCCAAAATCATAGCAATAGCCATTATTGTGCTAAATTGAGACCAATATTTGTCAAATTTCTTGAACATTCTACTTGACATTGTCTTTATAAAAATGTCCAAGCTGTCCATTTCATGTTTCAAGAGTAATCGAATCTTCAAAATATTAGGAAAATACAAATTGACAGTAGGATATTTGCTTCCAGAAAAAGAAAGGGTGACTTCATAATTTTTTTTTTAAATATTTGAATATTATCTCTACTTTTACCCACTCTTCTGTTGTTGGGCAATGCACATAATTAGTATCAACCTTCTGAAAATGAATTAGAGTTTTTTTTGTAGTACAAGACACTTTCTAATATTAAATATGTCGAATTCCACCTAGTTGGAACATCTTGTTTTAATCCCCTAGAAGATTCAAGTCCAATATGTTCAGCACAACTTAAAAGTCGTTGTTTTCGACTTTGAGAACCTTTACAATACTTCACACTTTCCCTAACCTTACAACACCATCAATCTCTTTCAAACCATCTTGAATTATCAAATTCAATATATGGGCACAACATCGCACATGAAGAAATTCATGATGACTCCAAATATGAGCATATTCTTAGGTTGACAAAAATGTGTATTACTTGAATTTCTGCATAAGAACCATCAAAATAATTCGTAATCGGCATACAATATTGATTTATATCACTAGGCATGATCCAGAATTCGTTGTTGAGACTGTTAACGATCTTTTGCCCTCTTAAGCGGTATTCTGGAGCCAGAAAAGCTAAGGCAGACGCCGCAAGCGACAGCCGCCTTCGCTCGCAAGCGCCCAAGACACACTTTGAAAACACTAAGGCATGAGAGGCAAGCGGCCACCTTCATAGCCGCAAGCGATAGCCTCTCCCGCTTGCAAGCTCCAGTCCAGATGCCCGCCGCTGCAGACTATCACCAAATTTCAACTAAGTACTTCAAATGCAGCGGTACAGCCATTCCAATTCCATCTAGCACAAGCGAGCCGAGCTACGCTGATGCCCTCCTGCTCTCCAGCAAGCGAGGAAGATCTGTGCCCTCAAAGCAAGCGAAGCGGGCACCCTGGGAGTTATGGCCAACAACTGCTTTAACAGAATAACCACCAGCAACCGCCTAACTGCCCAACGGTTGGAACTGCCTAACAACTTCTTGCAACTGTCTCTTTACACCTGCTATAAATGGGGCCAGATATCTTTATGTAGATGGATCGAATTCTTGGACAATTTCAGAATATACACAGCGTTCGTCGTCTTCCTGTTTTCCGAGAGCTCCAACCCTGTAAGGGAGTTCTCCACAGGAAAGGCCAAGGGAGTGGGCGTCTTCCCTCTCCCTTGGCCACATCTTTAATGCTTTCTTAGATTAGATTACTGCTTTCATTTTA